TGAGTTTTAGCTTAGTTAAGATAAATAATTATAAATAAATTATAAAACATTTCTCAAAACATCAGTTTATGATTTTTGTTGGAAACATATATCACAAGTCAATAAATGTAATTATGGACGTTAACAATTTTTTTCAATAACAGTTTATGTATTAGTTAAAAATATAGAATTGATAAGTAATAGTTTTATTGAACCAGTTAAAATAAATAAAGATGGAAAAATACTTTTGAAAAATGAAAGAAATAAAAGCAAATATCAATTAGATGTATATACTCAATTTGTTATATGTTTTTTTATTTTTCTTAAAATGTTTAAAACAAAACAAAATTAATTAGTGTCACTTATTAATAAAAAAAATGACACATGTCAAAAAGTTATGAGATACATGGCAGCTTTTCATAGTTTTGGTTTAGAAAAATCTTACAATATTATATTAGATTATGTTTAATAGTGTAATCGAAACTCTTTTTGTCCATAAGTGATAAACATTACTACAAAAAAACTTTTATAACGACCGAGTTTGTTATGTGATTATGAACACTTTGATAGAACAATTGTATTGAGTATTCATGTTCAATTGTACTGAATTAATAAACCTAGATTTAATATTCATGTTCAAATCATCATATTTTATATAATATTTTAAGCATTCTACAAAGTCAAGCTTTAAAAAGTTACTTCGTGTCTCTCACAATTTCAAAATTTGTTATTTTTTATTAATTTTGAGCATTAATTTTATTGTTGTGATTTATATATGGGAAATACACCATTTGCAAAATTCTAAAGATTCGCTTTTGTTATTTTTGACAATTAATTTTGACCATTTATATTAAGGTTATAAATTCATAGTATATAGGAGAAACACAGTTTGTAAAATTCCAAGAATTAGCATCATCGTGAAGAGGTTATGTGAATTGTTAACAAAAATATATAGAAAAATACTCATATGATATATATTCAAAATCCTCTAATTGTCGGTCACGCCGTCTCTTTGTTGATGATTCCTCTCCTTTCTTTGGTGTCTTTCGATCTGACCCAAATTATAGAGCAGGCTCGCCCTAAATACTCTCCCACGCACAGTCTACGAGGTGGCCGCGGGAAAAATTGAAGTGGTTTTCTATCTCCGGTCTCTCGTCCATCATGGTTCCCATCTAAGCTCTGCAACCTTCCGGCTTGTCGGATCCTTTACAAACACATCCGAAGAGCTTTCCCGACATCATTCGCTCCTTCTCTTCATGGTTGTCACTACCGAGCTTCAGCGTTTGATTCTGGCCTCCGTCTGCTCCGGTGTCTCTCGCTGACTTCCCCTCTGAGATGATGGAACTGATGCGGTCGAGCCCTCCTCCTCCACCCGAGGCCAAATCCTCCGGCGAGACCTACTGCAACTTCGCCGTCGCATTCCGAGGACAAACCTCTTCTCCTTCTACTTTCTTGGGCAAACCATCTAGATCGGAACGGCACCAGATCTAGAAGCCCAGATTGTTCTCGAAGATTGAAGTGGCTATCTACGGAGTGCTGCTCCCTTAGTCCTAGGGTTCGAGACTCTGTGTCTCAGTCCAGTACTCAAAGCTTGACAATTCCATCTCCATCTTCCTTACCGAGTTCTGAAGTCAACTTCCCTGATTCAAAAAATCCCTCTCTCGCCGGTCAAGTTCTGGGTCTCGCTCTCACTGTCCCGCAAATCAGCTCCAGTGAGCTTTTCGAGGGTATGACGGGTCTCTCTTGAAACCGTAGCACCTCTAACCCAAAGGAAAAATGCAGATCTGCCGCTTCTATGGCCAGATCTGGCAACGAGCGGTCGCACAACCACCTCTATAGCCAAGCCAAGATATCTGCTCCGGTACGAGGTTCGACTGGGCTCCGCCAGATAGGCTCCCTCCCTTCCCATCGAGGAGCCGCTGCTCCGACAATTCATGGATGGTCCTCCGCCATTGCCCCTTTTTCCCAAGATCAATGGGTCCTCTTGGATTGAAACAAAAATGGCCTTGGCCCAATCAATTAAATGGGGTTTTTAGTCTACAAAGAACATATCTTCATGGTCCATCAGTCATTATCCAAGATAAAATTAAGTTTTGATGTTGGGCTTATGCCTTACGACTATGTTACAAAAAATATGGCTTTATCAGGTAAATCTTTTGAGTCATATACTTTCTCTACTGTGAAAGTATCAAAGTTTTCTCGATTCTCAAATCATATAATTTGCGAGCTCGATATCTTCTTTATTGAGAGAAGATCAAAGTTTTCTGGATTCTCAAATCCTATAATTTACTCTCGGTGGAAGAGTTCAATTCCACCTTCTTCCATCTCTTTGAGACTGGTCGTATCTTCTTCCCTCTCTTGGAGAGTGGTCGAATTCCCGTGCTTTATGCCCAGATCTTCAAAGTCACATTGGAAAGTGATCAACCTGAGATCCTCCGGCTTTACCGCGAAGACCATTTTGACGCATCCGAGGCAAGTCTTTGGATCTGTTGCCCATCATCTTTTGCGATGATCTATCTGCTCTATATTTTATTGTATTTAAATTATGTTGTAGTAACGTTGGAGGATGCTTAATTCTCTCTCTTTGTACTTTGATCGGTTAAATGAATAAAGTGATCTTGTTGACAAAAACAAAAAAAGATCTGACCCAAATTAAAACTCTTTAATCTCTACCACTAGATTCAAACACACTAGTAAGGCATCCGATGTTCTCGAAGCCTCATGGCTCAGTCACTGTCACCCCCTCTTCATTCCACTTCTCTTTTTTGTTTCAGGTGTAATGATTTGAAGAAAATAGTTATCAATTTCCAACGTTTTGGTCAATTTATTTTTGTTTCATTTTTTTTCTGTTTTTGCATCTTCGTCTCGTTGGGTGACACGATCAAGACCAATTGGATGTTTGTTGCTCGAAAGGATCGTTGTTTCCCAACAAAACATGACCATCCACCCAGCCAATATGATTGACGATAACAAGTCTTGTTCAAAGTAGGGGTGGACAAAAAAACCGAACCGAACCAAAAGTTCTTCATATGGGAGGAATTAGGACGAACTCTTCTCTAATTTCCACTATCCAAAGATTTGCATCATTTGTTCTCTTTCATTAATTTTTACAATTAACTTCAACCGTTTATTCTAATGTTACAATTTATCAATTTACATTTTAATAATTAGTAGAAAATGATAAGACAAAGAACAAATTTCTCAAAACACACACAAAAATTATATGATGTATCTCAGTATTATATAATAATTGATAACCGATCACAATACAAATTTTATACCTCAATAGTTCTAAATATTATTAAAATATAATAAGTACTAATTTTTGTGCAAACATAACATTTGTAAAATATATAAGATTTCCAAGTAATGTACAGTAA